AATAATTTTAGCTGCCGAATTTACAACAGGAACAGTTATACAATTACGTACATTAAATTTTCGATGTACAGCTATTAAAACCCGACCCCCCATCTTATCGCCCCTGATTCCATAGTTTCGATCGCATCTGTATACATTATATCGAGAATCAAACAATTCCAAATAAAAAAAACCAGTAGTAGCCATGTTTCGGTAATACAAATTACGTCATATTCATTTAAAGCAATATTCTTATAGAACATGCTAGTTTTAGTACGCAACGCTCTGACGTTTTGGTAATAAATTCGCAATTTATTATATATCTTTAAACACTATAATATAATAATTCAGATACATAACTCCAAGAATAATATAATAGTTCCGTATACTATTATTACATAACTTTAAATTGTTGGGGTTACAAAAGGAATCAATAAAAGCGATACCACTACTGTAAAGAACAACAAAGCCGGCCAATGCGCAAAAACGAAAACAAAGTATCAATGAACGTTGACTCCAACCCAAACAAGGGTAATAATATGCACATCTTTGTACTTTTTTATTATTATGTGAAAAAAAAGTTCCTATTTTATTTTGGATAAATCATTTGTCGAGTTAATATGTAGCACAGGACTACTGTTACTTTGACGCACCATAATAGTAAAGTTTCTTACCCACACAAATTTGTAATTGCAGTCTTTAGCTTTAGATTTTGCCTTTTGAAGCAGTATTTTATTCATCATTATCATCTTCATTACAGCCCTTCACAAGTCCACTGCTGAACATAGGCCTCCCCCAAAGAATGCCACAAAGCACGGTCCTGAGCCACCTGCATCCATCGACTTCCTGCATATCTTACCAGGTCGTCACTCCATATAGAGGGGGGACGCCCTACACTTCGCCTGCCGGTACGAGGCTGCCACTCGAGAACCTTTCTTCCCCATCGGTTGTCGGTTCTTCGAGCTATATGGCCGGCCCATTGCCACTTCAGCGTACTAATCTGTTGGGCTATGTCGGTCACTCTAGTTCTACTGCGGATATCCTCATTTCTGAGTTTATCACGCAGAGAAACTCCGAGCATAGCCCTCTCCATAGCTCGCTGAGCGACCTTGAGCTTCCTCATCCGGCCAGCAGTATTTTATTAGATGCAGTTAAATGATCGTTGAAGAAGACATAAGAGCTGTAGCCTGAAAACCCGTTATGTCGCTAGCGTTCAAGTTTTTCAGCTGACGCACCCTGCACAGAAACTCATCGTTAAAGTAACAAGATATGAAACGCACAATTATACGTTTGGGCTTTTTATTATATTTTGATAAGGATGCAACACGGGTTACGAAATCCATATCAGCGGGGGCATTAAATATTATATCAGCTTTTTTGCCAAGTTTTCTATAATTGTAATCAAGTTCTCATTTTTATTTTCAGAAACTCCACAAATTTTAATATTTGAACGTCTGGCCCACTGATCTCTTGTATTATTCTCACTCTCCAGTTTATTAAATGAAGTCTTCAATTAAGTCATATCAGCCGATATAACATCCATGTATTTTAAAGATTTTCTTGGCTGACCAACTGAGTCTTGATTTCTTCATATTTATTGTTAATAAACGAAACTGATTTCTTAAGGTCCAGTTGTTTGTATCAATAATTGAAAAATAATAGCTGTTTGCCGGGTCCATACAACTGTGATGAAACGCTCCACCACAATGGGTGCATAACATAGTCGATTCATCGTCCATCGATCCCTCGCAGCAGGAGTACAGTGTTATACAAAATCAATACTAAAACCTCGCAAAAGGCACAAACTTTCAGTGAATATCCTTTACTAAACAACTTTCATACGTCGTAGTCTCTCAGCGACAACTCGTATAGATGCGCATATGATATACAAAACGAAAACAAAAAAAAAGGGGTACTGTCATATATTTTTTTAGTTGTGTATGTTAAAAGAACGTAAAGTAGGATAAGTCTTTTCATTTAATTTGATAACTTTATCGTCACCCGTTTAAACATCTGAAAAACAATAACGCTAAACAACCTAAGTGATATTTAATCGATTTTGTTATTACGTCGAACTCTATATTTTTCCAAATGTTCTTCTACCAAATCCTGATACTTACATTGATAAGCTATTGTCGGTTTTAATTATAGTATTGAGTTCATATTTCATTTTATTGCCTTTTGAGTAAATGTTAAGTTATAAAAATAAAATACAACAGTACTTTCGGAAAATGATTTATTTCTACCAATATTATGATTATTATTATAATGTGTTTTGTTAAAGCCACAATTATTATTTAGAATAATATTTAAAAATAATTCTTGTCGTTTTGTAGCTCAGAATAAAATGTTTTGAGTTTTAATTTTTTACTGTACAATATAAAATTTTGTGTGATTGCGATTTTCAATGGTATGACCTCTCAGTGTCATATTTAACCACGGCTATCTCGAGATTAAAAATTATTAATTTTTGTTCCGATATACGCAGTATGAACTTACAGTATCTTGAAGTCTTGCAGATGTATGCTTGGGTTGGGATTTAATTTTATTAATTATGGGATCCCAAGCAGATGCTAGCACCCAGCCATCTTCTCTATTAATATTAGGATGTTTTTTGATTTCAATAGCCTCGCGAATCATTCTTGGAAGGCATCGGTGTTCTTTAGCGAGGATTTGTGGTCTATCAAATCTAATGTAGTGACGGGGGCGATGCTGTACGTGCCATAATCGCGATTTTGTTGCTCCAACCGGTTTTCAGAAAATAGATTTACCGCTATAGCAGTAAAAACTTTCAATCAACCCCGCCGAAGCGGATAAAACGGGATAATTTGTTGCTAATTAGTTGCTAAAATATAATGCAAAAAAATTAAAAATCACAGACTGCAGACTTCCCGGAGCGTCGATTCTTCACATCAGCTATGTGTTCTTTAACGCGGGCTTTTATAGATCTTTTAGTTTGTCCAATATAAGAGAGACCACATTCCCAATAAAGCTTGTACACTCCTGCATCTTGCAGAGGGACGTTACACTTGACTAATGGTAAAAACTGACTAATCTGCAGGAACCGACCTCTGGCATACTCCTCCATCCTCCTCCATATCTACTCCTCTTGATAGACGAGTTAACGATCACAGTATCAGTTTTTTTTATAGGATAAGGGTGACAAACGAGCACACAGTCCACCTGATGGTAAGTGGTTGCTGCGGCCCATAGACATCTACATCTATCCTCTATTACAAATCAAAATGTAGATGCGTTGTCACCCGTGAGGACTAAGATGGAATGCCTCATTTCCAGTAAAAAGGGCCTCCGCTCACCTGCACTCACCAAGCGAAATGCAGAGGTAAACCTCTACTTCACGCTGGTTTTCTGTGAGGTCGTGGTACCACCCCGGTTCGAGCCAGCCCATCCGTGCGACAACAAAAGCTGCCGCGTGGCTCTACCACTGTTTAGATATTAACCTTTCAAAGCTCGGCAAACCTATTTGGATTCTCAAAATGTCACTTTGTAGATCTCTCTCAAAATAATTATTTTTTAAATGTTATTTATAAGAACTATATATCTGATTTTCTAAAAATTTTATTAGAATTAGTCCCGTTACTAAATTACGCTTCTAGAAAATAAGAGTATTTAGTTCAAATGACGAGTTTGCGCCATGATGCGTCGTATTTACTACAGTATATCCCTATGTCGTGTGCGTGACTCTTGCCCTACTGTATTATTTTTAAAATTTGAAAGTGTTTAATAGTTTACAAAACTTTGTTCAGTTTTTTTTTTTTTACCAAGGGTAAGTAATTACACTGTTTTTAAAAAGTTTTGCTTATATTTCGTATTTTAACAATTTTTATTCAATTTATAAAATTAGCATTTCAAATACCGTACTCACGTACTCACGTATGAAATAAAGTACTCAGAATTAACTGAAAATGAAATATAAAGTGTAAATAATCACCATAAATCATGAAAAAAAAAACACAGAAACTCATATTTTATACAGTCCAATGTGCAAAAATGACGTTTTATATTATAATTTCGACATAATCGTGAAAATTATGGCAAAATTGTTTTCAACAAAAATGGCGTTGCTCAATAAACAATACATAAACAACAAATAAATATATACCTATGATTGATTTTATTTCGATTTATTAGAGGCTCCTACTGAGTGTTTATTATTACGATGTCGATATAATTTTGTTATATATTTCTTTTCTTTATGAAATTTCGAGTGTTTTTTTCTACATAGTAGTTAGGTATTTGAGTGTAGAATTTAGTATTTCATAATTCATATATATAAATTTTATAAACTTTGTTTTCTTACTCTTTTCGATTTTTGTGAAGACACAAAATGTTCACATGTGTGTAATACATAATACATACATTTTCAGAAAAATGGCGGAATTGGATAACTTATGGTGTGACTCGGACGAGGGCGATCTCAGCGAGGACGAAGAAACATTTTCACATAATAATGTAAGTTAGTTATTATACTCTGGTCTTTATTATAATTATAAATATGAGTGTATATAGTGGTTGTATAACGTGACTGCTGATTATGAGGTCCCGGGTCCAAATTCTGAGTTGGGTCAATAAAATTATTTAATGAGTTTTTCCGTTAAGAAATTCCCAGTAGCAGTCCAGAGTCAGGAAGTTGGCGCTGTCTCACCCCTGTACCTCGAAAAGCATGTACAACCGTTGGTTTTGCGCCTGATTTCTCTGCTGTTATGTTGTTTTATCGTTCCGTATATATACATATATATATATATATATATATATATATATATATATATATGTTGGTATTTATATACTATAAATATATCTACACCTATCATATGACGTAAACATGAAACACATCTATGAAAAGAAGTCTCTGGTTTTTCTCACTTACTAATTAAAAGACAGCAGTGCTATCCTGGTCAATCCAACTTATGACCATAAAAATATGTTATATGTATATCTAAAATGTCTCATCTTACTTGTTTTTCAGGAGCAGGATATGCAGGGGGAATTAGATACCTCCAATGAGGTTACATGATGAACATGGACAGCAATTGGAGTGTCCAAGTCTCCCTTTAGGACCCGCACCTTACACTGATCCAGCACAAGTAAATCCACCATTACCAGTGTCACCATCTTCTTCGTAAGTTAATTTTGTTATTATGTTTGTATTAAAGCTTTTTCAAAGAAATGTGTAAGTAGAAGCTACCACAGTTTTTAAACTTTGTCTATATTCAATGAAAATTCTTCACTCTTATAAATTAGAGATATGAAAAAGCCTCCGTCTTGGCAAGAACGAGTTAGAAACCCAGCGAGACTTTTGGAGAATAGAATTACGAGTAATTTATAATATTTTTATAGAATAAAATTAGTATGGTAGCAATCTCCTCATTCCCAAGGATTATTATCAATCACATACTCTTAAGTAGTATAATAACCTTTACTAAACAAATTTTGCTTACTAAAAATTTAAACTGATTAATAAGGTCTTATTTTTTCTGGGTCTGTGTTATAAAAATGAATGTTGTAAAAATGGAAGTCAATATTATTGGCTGAACGCATTGTAAAAATCATATATTTTGTCTTTTGTATATTTAATGTTAAAAGGTTGTTTATTAGCCAGTCAGATACTTTATTTAGGCCTTTTTGAACATTTTCATAAACTTCTTGCCACGTGTTTGCATGAAAAATTACATTATATTATGTCGGTATATAAATAGGCCTAAAGCAGGAGTCGATGATGCGTCAGTTTATAGCAATATCTTTGTTTAATTGTTATGTCCTACTCACGCCCCATCATTGCAGTTAATGTTCAACGCTCTCTTTATGCACTAAGCTCCTGGTAGCTCAATATATTTAACTAATTGAGAATTACTTTGAAAAATACTATTTTTAAATTAAAATAAAATTGTACAAGAAAGACGTCCAATGTCTACCGAAGCCCGAGGGGACAAGGTATATACATTTATGTTATATTTAATAGTTTATAGGAGCCGTGGTAGCTAGGATGGTTGTTGGTTAGTTTCATAATATTAGTTCTTATTTGAATAGATAGTTTTATCATTAAGGGTATTTATGTAGCAGTAATTCATTCAAATCGGATGTTTAATTTAGAATGTATCACAGGTATAAAAATGCAATACACGAACCGTTCGACGTATATATATAAGGAATAATTAGGGTTCTGCACAAATAAATTAAAACCCATGAAATCTAATTGTCATAAATTAATACGCAGGTGAAGTCGCGGGGAACAGCTAGTATTACATAAAATATGTATGAACTAAATTATGTTATGTAATTTTCATATTGGTCTTGCAGGCGAAATGTTCGTCCAGAAGTGGTCGTTGTCGTTGAGCGGTTAGATGAGGAGACCGGCAATGAGTACTTGTTGGCGGACCAGCATGAAGTATATCACGAGGAGGTGGTGGCGAGTTCGAGTGGTGGTGCTGTGCGAGGCGTGCGGTTCCCAGCGACGGCAGCAGCAGGCGGGCGTAAGGCGCGAGGCGGCCGCGCCCGCGGAGCTCGCGTCTCCGACTCCTCGTCGTGGCGGCGCGGCGACCGCCTTGTTCAAGTGTATGTGACAGACGATGATGTGCCTGAGGATTTGTGCAATACGATTTTGAGGCTGGTGGCTGATAGGGAAGCTCGAGAGCGGAGGGCCGAAAGGAGAAGGATGGAAGTAGATAATGATGATGTGGCCGATGGCAGTGGACATGCGGCCCTATTCGAAGGAGATACGACTTCTCTTCACTATGATTGGCGCCCCATCGACTCTGTGAATTTTTTTAGCATTGCCGTAAGGTCTTTACGTAAATCTTCAATTTCAGACGAAAAATTGCAGTTGCAAATATGTTCTGGCTGTTTGCTTTTTCTGTGAGTAATTTGTTGTTTCATCGTAAACTCGTCATTAGGTGACGACAAATTAGTGTACGAGTTACTTTTGCCAGGCGGTGAGCATCTGACATTCATGACTTGTTCCATACAACAAGAACGAAGTTACGACAGATAGCTAGTGCGCTGATGTCTGTATGTGTGTTTGCTCCCCCCGGTATCGAGACCGAGATGAAAAATATAATATTGTATTTGTTACCCACGTTGGTGAAGGGCGCCTTTGTGGTTCTTGATTCGTATCGACTAGTCGGAAGCGCACATTTGTTGAATATTTTACTTTTTTATTCTAGTTTAAGGTTTATTATTGCAAAAACACAGTTATTTACTTTCAACGAGACAACCAAATACACGTCTACTCAGTATAACTATTATTATTGCAGTTTAATCCATGATATTAAATAAATAATGCGATTATATATACAGAACTTAAACAATAACAATGCGGGAATCAAAAAAAATAAACAAAGATACAGCCCTGTTTAACCTTATAGGCAAACAGAGACTACTGTTTGCCTATAGGGTTAAACAGGGCGGGTGATTTACACAAACAAAATTACTAGTATCACTGCTTACTGCTTTAAATATCTGGCGTGAATATGATATAAAATATTAAAGTTAGTACATGATATATAATACATTAGCTTATGCGGTTATAGACTGTTGAAGTGGGATTTTTATTACGAAATTATAACGTATCAATTTAAAGAATGTTTAAGAATTTCGTATGATGCATTACAAATTACATCATCATCATGACAGTCGGACACTCCTTCTAATGAGTGATGACTTACACTTCGCTCATCAGTACGAGGCTGCCACCTAAGAGCCTTTCTTTACTTTCGATTGTCGGTTCTTTAAGCTCCGTTGCCCCTTCATCTATCTAACTGATACGTTATTATTTGTCGGTTACTCTGGTTCTTCTGAGGATATCCTGATTACGAAGTTTATCGTACAGAAAAAATCTTTCACGACTATCCATTACAATGAACCACCATGGGAAAATCTTTGTTATAGAGAGTACAAGAGAAAATATCTGGCTGCCGAGTTTCAGCATGGCAAGCAAGTATTATTGCAAAACAAAAAACTTCGGCTCCCGCGCCTACGTCACAGTGACTGAGTGAATCCGGCCACAGTCGAGCGTGTGCCTGTACTACCCAAAGAGCAGTCACAGACAAGGTAGCCAACCTTCTTGCCTACATGGTAGAGCCACGATGCAGCTATATTAGTAGTATAGTTGTAGCACGAATGGGTCGGCTCGACCGGGGGAGGACCACGCTCTCACAGAATACCAGCGTCAAATAGCAATTTCACACTGCTATGTTTCGTATGGTGAGTGTAGAGAACCGGAAACCCTTTTACTGGAAAAAAGGCATTTTATCTTAGTTCTCACGAGTGACAACGCATCTGCGTTTTGATTCGCAAACGAAGATAAAAGTAGATGTCTATGGGCCACAGCAACCACTTACCATCAGGTGGACTGTGTGCTCCTTTGTCACTCGATCCTATAAAACAAAAACAAAACACATCTTGAAGCCAGCTTCTTATTTTTATTAAAACATACTTCAAGCCGCCGAAGAAGATTAGTCAATTTTTACCACCCGTCCAGTGTAATATCCGTCTACAACATGCAGAAGTGTAAAGCTTGATTGCAAATGTGGTCTCTCTTACATATGACATACAAAAAGATCCATTAAAATCTGCGTGAAAGAACATATAGCTGACAAGAGGCACCAACGCTCTGGGAAGTCTGCAGTCTGTGAGCATGTTCAAGATCGTCCCCGCCATTACATCAGATTTGATAGACCACTGGTCCTAGCAAAATAACACCGATTCCTACCAAGGTTGATACCCGAGGCTATTGAAATTAAAAAACATCCTGATTTCAATAGAGAAGATGGATGGGTGCTTCTTATCTTCTTCTTTCTCATTTTGTTAATTATAGGATCCCAAATCCTATAATTAATTTTTTTTTTATAAGATAAGGGTGACAAACGAGCACACAGTCCACCTGATGGTAAGTGGTTGCTGCGGCCCATAGACATCTACATCTATCCTCGTTTGCGAATCAAAATGCAGATGCGTTGTCACCCGTGAGGACTAAGATGGAATGCCTCATTTCCAGTAAAAATAGCCTCCGGCCACCTGCACTCACCAAGCGAAACGCAGAGGTAAACCTCTACTTCACGTTGGTATTCTGTGAGGTCGTGGTACCACCCCGGTTCGAGCCGGCCCATCCGTGCGACAGCAAAAGCCGCCGCGTGGCTCTACCACTGTTGAATATATTGAAAAGGAAAAATAAATTTGGATTTTTATTAACACTTCTTACCCCTCATTACGCGAATATAAAGGCGCACCCTGTATAAAGTCCATTCATTATAAACTAATTGTCAAAAGGTGAATCCATACAATATTAAAAAAAATACACCGATTGTTTTTGATAAAATTTATTCACACAATAACAAGCACGATTAACAATATTAAGCAATATTTAGGCATACATTATTTTAAATAATTTGTAATAATATCCACTAGACCACATCGTCCCGTGGGTGTCGTAAAAGGCGACAGAGGGAAACTGAAACTGCAGATGGGCATCAGCATCAAAGTAACTGAAATGGCAGCTAATGGATTACATCATTTTCACAATTTCCATCCATTATCTATCCATTACAGCCTATAAGTCCACTTCCGAACATAAACCTCCATAAATTGCATCATAGGGGCGATTACGCCATGCTTGGCTGGCGGGTTGGCAACTGCATTTTTTTTGTAATTTTGAGTACTTCTCAGGAAGATGTTGCTGCCTATTTCCTGTTCCAGTGTCACTATATCTCTTACGACACCTACGGGACGATACGGTGTAGTTGATATTACTACACGGTTACTGCCTTCTAATAATAAGTTAATATAATAAAAAACTGCGGTTGCCAGCCCGCCTCAAAACTATGGGCAAGAACTATATTTAGAAGTAGAATATAATAGAATGTAATTATGATAATGATAAAGAAAAACTTATTTCAAGTGCAACACTCTGACATTAATAACTATTGATTTTAGGTTTCAAGATTTATGTTTTAAATGTTAATTTCTAAATTTTCGTTAGATGCGTTAAAATTATACAACTATTGTCATCTAGAGATAAAATATCAACCCATTATACATTTATAAAAACGTACATTTCTTTATATAATAATAAGTGTGATATGCGGTTACACAGTCCAGCTAATGGTTAGTGGATGCTGCGGCACATAAACATCTATGATATCGTCAAGTAAAAATCAAACTACCATCTGTATTTTAAGTTTTCATTGCCACCCCGGAGGAGTAAGCTGGAATATCTTGCTACCATTAAAAAGGGTCTCCGGTTCTATCCACTCACCATACGGAACACAGCATTATTCTGCTGTTTCAGGCTGGTATTCCGTGCATGGTTCTGCTCCGGTCGGGCCGCCTCATTCGTACTACAGCCATTAGATAGCTGTAGCGTGACTCTACCAAAAAAAATATACTTACGAAGTGATGATAACCTATTGGTTATTAAGGGTGCGGTGCAATACCTGAAGATCGTGTGTTCAAATCTGCCATTCGACTTCTGTCTCGTGTACTACTTTTAGCGTGTGCTTTTTAGGCTTACTTGGAACGGATGTGTTATTATTAAAATTACTAGAATAATAGTTTTAAAAAAGTGAAGATACGTTTCATTACTTTATATTAATATTTGTGGTGGTTCTTATCCCCATATAAAAAGAAATAAATTGTCTTCTTTAACTGTAACTCTTGAAATTATTTACATTCCACTATGATATGATACTGTTTAATGAAGACTATAAATGCGACGTAGGCACTTATTACCTGAAAGTGAAAATTTTGTTTTAGATAGTTATCAAAATAAGGGTATTTTGGGTATGAAGTCGATCTTAACTTTTTAAATGGAGGCAGTAAAATACTTATAATCGGCTGTAATTGCATTTGAAAGCGTTTGATTAACTATTACTTTAAAAGTTCTGAAAATAGATATAACCTTCACACAATATATTTAAACAAATACATTTTATTAATTTTCAAAACTATAAATTTTTTATAGAATATGGGTGACAAACGAGCACATGAGGACTAGGATAGATATTCTGGTATCCAGTAAAAATGGTCTCCCTTAAGCTGCTATTTTACGCTGGTATTCTGTGGAAGCGTGGTCCTTTCCCGGTCGAGCTGATCCATTCGTGCTACAACTATAGTATACCTGCATTATGGCTCTACCACGATAAGACTTTTACTTCGAAAATGAGCGGGGATAAAAACGGCATACTGGCAGCATTCCATGTTATGCCACTGTTGAAAAGACTTTTCCACAAATACCCAGTATTTTACACTAGGTATAAATATGAGATGGTTCAACCATCATCGCCGGTCATGAGATCATTTTGCTCTCCTACAACGGCGACTCTCACTATGACATTCAGAGAAAGACAAGAGGTGATAGATTCCCTTAAGCCATCATCAACATGGCGAAAATTATATAATGAAAAATTTTATCGTAGAGCCAGTTTACGTAGCATGCACTCAGACCTGGAAAAATATATGCTGGTTGTACAAACACTTGCTCCGTGCGGAATTAGAACTTGCGGTCCTGCAGTACCGCGACCAAACACTATTCCCCTGGCCTACGGAAAATCTATTATAACGTCAAAATCTGTATTATTTAATAAAGTAATATTTAAAATTTTATAATATAATTAACGTGGTATTGTTGCGCTACAGCTATATTATGGGTGCAGCACGAATGGGGTAGCTTGACCGAGCCAGGACCACACTCTTACTTAAAACCAGCGTAATATAGCAGCTTTGTTCTATATTTCATATGGTGAATGTAGACTCTATTAACTGTTAAAGAGGCATTCTATTTTAGTCTCCAGGGGGGACAAAGCACCTACATTTTAATTTTAATTGTAGATACGTGTAAGTGCCTATAGGTCACAACATTTACTA